TGACTCCAGACTAGGTGCGTTCCTCTAAGTCTTCCTACCAATATGACCAGATTGCGAAAACAAGGTCAAACAAGTTCTATATTTATGATTGTTTGAAAATTGGAACCTAAAATAACACTATTACATAAATTCATCAGCAGCAGTCATTCTATTATGAATAAATTATATCAATCAATATTGATTAATGATCACATTTTCGCCAGCTTTGAGAAAAGCTTAAAAAATTCAAAGCGTTGACAAATAGTTCCTAAATAAGCGTAAGGATGAAAGCCAGGATGGTGTGGCTTTAAAAATAGGGTAATATTTTAAATATCAAGTAAAGTAATAAGCTAGTCATAATTCATCATTGCGTAAATTAACAACTTATTACAGCAATAGAACATAGCTGTCACGAAGTTTTTGTATAGTCAAATACTTGAAAAATAAGTGGTAGTAAGTGTTGGAATAAAATATTTATCTTTTAGATACGAAGAAAAACTTGGTTTCGATGAATCGCCTGAGATAACATTGTTAGAAGAACCTTCATTTCTTTATGAACTTTCATACGAAATGAAGGTCCCCCTAACAAAATATTTACCGAAAATAATCGGATATGAATTAGGTGAAGAAGCGATAATAAACTATTTAAGTGACTTAATCACTCTGTAGACAGAATTGCACCGCACAGTAAGTTTTATATTCTAAAATATGCGAAAGGTTACGTACTGCATAGAAAACAGTCTAAATAAAAAGGTGTTAATAAGGAGCAAGGGGCCATCAGATTCGTGAGTACATACGTAAAGGAAAATAAAATATGAATTGAAGGACTAGCGAATACTCACGGCAGATGAACGGAAGAAAAACGAGTGCTCAGTTTCATAATCGAATTGAGCAGCATCTGCTTAGTGAGTGGTGTAGATAGGCTTGAAGTCATCGCCTGCCATAAAACATCAAGAACCTCAGTTTCAGTGAAAACCACACGAGTATCCCAGCCGTCATGCTGTCTAGGATATCCGAAAGAATCGATTTGCTGTTCGGGTAAGATATCGGAATAAGAATTAAAATCAGTGAAGGTGGCAGATGTCAGGCCATTCTCACGCACCAATAAGTCACCATATTCACCAATAGTCCAGGCAGCGGCCTACAAATGTATAGGTTAAGTAAAATGCATAAATTAAAGAAAAGAATGAGAAACATAAGGAGACATAAGTTGAATATATTAGTGAATTTAACAACAAAAACAGAAGTAACAGAAAAATGAAAGATAAAAATGGTGAAGACAAGAAGATTAATATAGTTTTGAAATCAGAGAAGAATTATTGCTAAAAGGAAATAAAAGATGAGTAAAATATTGAATCCATGAATAAGGAAATAAGAGACGTTCGATTGTAATAAAGGGAAAATGAATAAAATGGAAAGGAGAGATATGATTTCCTTTGGGGAAAAAAATAGATTTATTTACTAACAAATTTTGGGACTCATTTTACGTGAGTAAATATGGCGTTGGAAGTAGTAATTTCCAGCGTAGGATAATGGGTATGTACCATATCCATGGACCAAAGCTAAAAATTACTGGAGAAACTATAGCAGGGGACCCCGAACAAGGTACGTTCATCTAGGTCGCCCTGACAATATGACCAAGTTGAGAAAACGAGGTCAAATCACTACTATGCACAGAAGGGATAACGCGACCATACCAAAGAGCACACCATCATGGGCTTCAAACTGTAATTTAAATATGTTTTCGATTTTTGAATAAGAATTTAGTCACCCAGGTCACCTGTGGTGATTTGAGAACAGATAATTAAACTTTCCCAACTTTGGATGAGTAGACCTCTGTAGGTCCATAAGATTTCCCATCAAGAAAGGCTTACTGGTCAGAGGTGAACTGCAGTTACGACCTTGACTAGAGCACACCATTACCCCTAACCGGATCTAAAGAACCATGGTGTAACCTAAGTATGTGATCTACTGCTAGTCTCGAAAACACACTTGTAAAACAAAAAAATAAATTTTGTTCACGGTGGTAGCAAATACAACTTTGCCCTATCGACAATCCCATCATAGAAAGTAATATGGGAAAGTTGTGGACTTATTGCACCGTGACTCAATAGCAGCCGTAGTACTGTGACGTAGTGGTTGATCTGTTGAAGCCCTGCGCTGCACTACCCGGGTTCTAAATCTGCTGTGGATGCTGATGAGACTTGGGGGAGTTGGAAACTGCAGTCCAGT